ATGACGTCATCTCATGCGACACTATCTAGGACAGTGGTCCCAAGCTCATTCGTGTGGGGGTTAGATGGCCCACACCGGAAAGGTGTGGGCCATCTGACCCACACCTTTCCGGTGTGGGCCATGTCACTGGCAAAACTCACAGTTTTGCCAGTGACATGTTTAGATTTGATTTGTTTATGTGACTACTTTGGGCCCTGACCTGGTATGATAACAAGAACTACAATGACGCCGCCCCGCCAACGTCCTGGCAGTTTTAATGGAACAAGGGAGCGAGCACGGCGCCGTTCCCGTTGCTCAATGCACTCGGGAATTAAAGCAAGCTCAACATGTCTCTAAAAACGATCAGTTAATTTGACAGTTCTTGCTTTCTTGACGATTTTTATTACAACACTCTGAACAAATACGTGTCTTTTAATAGGGATATCGTTTGAAGGCTAGAATCCCGAGCTCGTAGCTTTCATCTTTGGCAAGTGCTCCTGCTGATCCAGAGTTGGCGCAGCCGAGATGCATCCTTTAACGAAGAGCTCGCGCTTGCGGCCCAGTAGCGGAACTGTTGTGCATTACAAAAAGCTGAAAAGCAAAAAAAAAATAATAATAATAATAAAGCAAAACAAAGAGCAAAGGGACACAGAATACGCTAAAAGAGCAGAGCTACTTTTTGAGCAAAAAATGAATCGACAAGATCAGATGACTATGGCGCATGCCATTTCTAGCGCTCGAGACATGGGAAACGGGACTCGTAGCCGGTTGCCTGCGGTATATTAATGCGATCCCCCCCCCCCCCCCCCCCCCCGGATTTCTTGTACGTACTGGCCTCCTAATGCGCGGTAGGTATGCGCAGTAGACCATTTCGGCTCACATTCTCACACTCCTTCACATTCGCACCCTCTTCGATGGACCTGACAACGTTGACGTCGTCCTTGAGGTTGTTCTACAGAGGTCGTCCTAGACGTCGTCTTTGATGAAGTTTTCTAGGACGTCGTCCTTGAGGTTGTCCTAGACGAATGCTATCGCAATCCATAGGCAACCGACGATAGTGGTTTCCGCAGATCACGTGACCTCAAGGAGTCACCTGTCCCTCAGTACGCTTCCATCCTCCTCCTCAAGAGCTGCGCTCTAATCCGGCGTTACAGGGAATTTTAAACGGCTTTCATTTTTTGCTTTTCACTCGGTGGACATGGTGAAGCAATACGCCTCGCAAGTGGGCTCATTTTCGTCTTCTGCGCATGAGAAACGAAGTAGCGGTGACGTCAGAACGCCGAGCCCTGATTGGCTGATCGCGACCCCCTATCTCAGCGTCGTCTGCTCCTTTGCAACGTCGTCTGCTCGCAACATCGTCTGCGTCTGTCTCACCTTTCCTGCGACTTTCAGAAGTGAGGTCTTTACATGCGAGCTCGACTTCGCCTTTCACAGAGGGCAGACGAAATAACTCGAGCGGTACGTTGTTTTTGTCTAACAACTAGCAGACGCGCATCAAGGAGGGAATTCAGAGGACTCACTGGCGAGGTGTCCCGAGGCGCCGAGGTTTGTTTACTAAGAACCGGGAGGTGAGCGTGCAAGTTCCCTCCCAAATACTTTGTCCCTCCTTTCGTGTGCGGCGAGACCCCCATTCTTTAAAAGCGTCGGCGGGTCGGCGCAGTTACCGTCGTCTGCTTCACGTTTGCTAGTCAAATTGCGATGGCTGCTTTACCTTTCCTGCGCCTGTCGGAGAGATTCACCGCTTTTGCACCGGCGAGAGGCGCTGCCTCGGGAAACAAGGAGATAACAAGAGGAAGAAATTGACCTCTTAATCCAAAAGTGAGGTCAGCGATCAAAGTTACGGGAAGGGTTCACAAGGGTCGCGCGGGCATATTCCATTCAGCACGCCAGCCGGTCGTGGGCAGACGGTCGCCGAGTCCGGGAGTGCCTGCTAGGCCTAACTGCCGTGCTCGCTTGGTCGCGTTCGGTGGAATCATGGCCGTTGGAGCTTCTCCCGGGTGTTTGTGGATCCAGCGTTCTTGTTCGTCGTGGTCTGTTTTAAGTACATTTTATTTTTTTTCTTGCTGCTTGAAGTCGGGACGCGTGAGAAGCGCACATAGAAAAATAAACGTCCGTGGGTCGTCGCGACCGCGACGCAGTCGGTCATGCTGATTTGGTCGTAAGAAGTGCGTACGACAGCTTCAAAGCTGTCGTAGGATTTCGTCGTAAGCTGCGCAAAACTTGCGAAAATTTCGTTTCGTGAATAGAAACTTGTTCTTAAGTTATGGCTTACGCATATTTCTGGCGTGAGATCGTTTCCTGCGACTTACGAAATCCCCGGAAAGGTAAGACAGACGCAGACGACGTTGCGAGCAGACGACGCTCAGGTAGGGGGTCGCGATCAGCCAATCAGGGCTGGGCGTTCTGACGTCACCGCTACCCCCTGCGCAAGAAGCAGACGAACTTGCCCTCCGCATACATTAGTCCAGTCGGAGACACGCTGGTGTCCCCAACGAAGGAGCCAATAAAGCAGCAGCAAACCTGCATCGTCACGACGCTCGTCTGCTTTCTCCGTTCGCTATTATCGTCGAAATCAGTGGTCTCCAAGGTGTATGTCGCGGCCTCCAGTAACTAAACGGGTAGCTAGAAATTAGAAGAAAAAAGATCCCTCAATCGATGTAACCAGAAATGCATTTAAATACAGAAATTCCAATTAGACTAAATTTTAAAAAAATATTCCAAGGCTCATTAATAAAAAAACAGGTGCAAATAACTAGATTTACGTCTAATAAAGATGAATACACTGTACGTACTGGGTAATTTTTTTTTTTAATCGAAACAGATTTTTAAAAAAGGGCATCTTTACTGCCACGTGAATGCCATATTCGCTACATGTTTCTTGAGCTCGGCGAACATTCGAGGGGCGAACAACCCTCTCTGTCTGGTCAGTAATTAACTAAAATTCGATAATTAACTTTTTAATTAGTGAAAATAGACTTCACTTCACTTTATTGGCCTGCGATAGCAAACGCACAAAAAACGACGATCGCCATGACGATGCACTTTTAGAGCGCAGCTCTTAGGGGCCCGTTTCCGGCTTGAGCGGCGTCGGCGTCGCCATCGGCGTAACCGTGAGGCAACGTTACTAAAGCACTCAGTTGGGAAACTCCCATAGAGACAGCCCTAAAAATATGGCCCCAATCTGTCTCCGAGCATCGAGCTAATGACGAACACAACGCCACCATTTCTCCCGCAGCGGCCACTCGAGAAACTGCACGTGACTTCTATTTTTGGCTTTGACAGGGGTAAACCCCCGTCTCCACGGCGGGCGCGCCACGTCGAACTACCGAAGTCAAAAAGCACCTAGGTCGGGACGCGCTACCTGAAAGGCCCGCTGAGGCATGGTTTTATAAAAACAATATTAATTGTTCCGCAAAGCCTTGCGAACTAAAGATGATAAAAACATCACGCGCCCATCATTTGGTACTAAACTCCAATAAATTTAATACAAAAAGAGTCTTTTCCGTTTGTTTTTACGCAAAAACAGGCTTTCAAAAAGCTCAATTGGTGATTACAGTACAGACAAACGATAAAGAGTGGCGCTGTTGTCGCATTTAGCTCGGTCTCGGTGGACGCCAGCGGCCCAGCTTTCGACGGCGAGTTTCCCAACTGAGTGTTTTAGTAACGTTGCCGTGAGGTCACGTGTCCCCCAAGGTCACGTGACCCCCGCCGAGGTCACGTGACCCCCCACCCAGAGGTCACCTGAGCCCTGTCCCCCAAGGTCACGTGACTCCCGCCGAGGTCACGTGACCCCCCACCCCGAGGTCACGTGCCCCCCCCCCCCCCCCCCCGAGGTCACGTGACCCCCTACCCCGAGGTCACGTGAGCCCCCCCAGGTCACGTGACCCCTCCCAAGAAGGACCGGATTAGGAGGGAGGAGGAGGAGGAGGGAGGAGGGGAGAAGGAGTAGCAGGCAGGGTCACGAGGGCAGGAGGAGGAAGGAGGGGTATACCCTCTTCTCAGTACCCTTCCCTCCTCCTCCTCAAAAGCTGCGCTCTAATTCGGCGTTACTGGGAGTTGTAAACGGCTTTCATTTTTTTTTTTTTGGCGCCGATTGGTTGGCGCCGTTCAATCGCAGCGTTGGCTGCGGTACTATGGAACGTGTTCCCGATGTTCACCTTCCTTAGTTTGGAACTACAGCCGGCATTAGGGTGACCACCCGTCCCGCGACTGGCGGGACTGTCCCGCATTGAAGGCTCGTGTCCCGCGTCCCGCGAGAAATTCCCAAATCTTCAAAATGTCCCGCATTTCACACTGTAGTAAAATTCACTCTGCAACTCATGGTGCTGCCGAACAACGGGGAAGCGCGGAGGTCACTGGTAATCGTGTGAATCTCAATGGTACGCCATTTTCTATCCAAGCATTGCGGGAAGCGATAGTCGTTCCGCAGGAGGCCCGACGAGCACGCGCCGTTGTGCCTCTCCCCTTAGTGGCAAAATATTGTAAAAGGAAATTGCTCGTAGTATTGCCATTATTTTTGATATCGCTGTTTTAACGCAAAAGGGTTGCTGTGGATTTCTTCTTTAGTGAAGACAGCCACACAAGGCAAAAAGAAAAAAAAAAAGAACATATTGTTAAAAATTTGCGTAGGACCATTTTCATAAAAGTAAGCGTTGACAAGAAACAATGAACCCGAAAAAGATTTACTGTTTCTTAATTTCATTTGATGCATTGAGTGCTGCTGGAGTTGATTTTTATACTTTCAAATTCGACACATTTAGAAACATATTTGGCATAAAAAGATATATCACTGGGAGTGAAAACTATTTTAGCTTAATTGCTGCAATACAATTTGCAGGTGTATAAACAGCACAGGATATTAAATGTGTTAACAGGGCCTCGGTTCGTGGTGTGTGTGTTAAAAAAATTTCCTCTATACCCCCCCCCCCCCCCCCCCCTTTTTGCCCCGCGCCGTCCCGCATTTCGCTAGCAGGAAGGTGGTCACCCTAGCTGGCATCGAGAAAAGCCTCCGCACAAGTGACTCCAAAACAAGTTTCGTTTATTGGTATATCTAAACAAAGAGCAAGATAAAAACTTCTAGAGCGATTCAACAACAAGAAAGAAAAAAAAAACTTTGGCAACGCTCCGTCTTTCTTTTTTTTTTTTTTTCGTAGAAAAATACACGGACAGTTTCTCATAAGGTCTCGATCTTACGATATAAAACGTAAAAGAAGAGAGGATGAAACAAATGCACTCAAAACTTGGTCCCCTTCATTTCATTATTGCAAAGCTCAAAAATGTCTCAAAGAAAAAAAGAAAAACACCTCACACTTTGATAGCTAACTAGCCCACCATTTAGCCCCTTCCCTATATCGACACTATTTTACAGACCACAAAAAATGGCGGCGTTCGCTTCAAAATGCAGATTAAGCCTGCGCAACAGCAGACGATAACCTCAGCATGTATACGTCTTCACCGAGATACACGTAATCGCACGTAAGAAAAAAAACAACAAGAAATGTTTCAGAGTCGCGCAGCTAACTCCCCATTGTCTAATTACAGGCCGCTGAGCTTTATCGAACAATGACCGACAAGGTAATATCACAAAACTACTCCGCACTTAGCAGACTGATTTATCACGAAGACAAAAGACAGTCAGCTTCTTACTAAAAAACTGCTCAATAAAAGCCCGCTTTATAAAATACCAGAATGGAACTGCGACTCGATTGTGACTTTAGTCTCTTCCTCTTTTTTTTTATTTTATTTCTTTTTAGTTTAGCGTTATCGTATTTGTTTCTGTTGTTGCCAGGACAGTCTTGACATTGAATCAAAAACAACCAAGCCGCGTTCTTTAGTTCGTTTCTTTTGAACAATACGCGCCAAAAATACTTCTGCCACATTTGTAAGTTTGTTTTGACAGCAACTTTGTCCTAAAGGCACACCTTGATCACACTACTGATCAAATCGTAACTTGAACGGCAGCGCGTCGTCGGTTATTCACGCCGTCCGCCACTGTCCGTAATATCGTCTGCTCTGGCGCTAAGCTCGTTTAAATGCGACAGGGCTCGTGATTACGAACGCTCTCCCGGTGTCTCATTACTTTACTTATCTCTAGAAAGGCACTGTTTTGCACACACACACACACACGTACACACATGCCGTAGCGAAAAGTCACACCACGGAAAACAAAATGAGAAAGTTCACGTTGTGCGTGATTCTGGGACCCGTCGCCAAGGCCTTCCGGTGCCCAACCAATCGCCATAGAGAGACGTTGCGGACCGGAAGTGTGCTGGGCGTCATCTTGGAATACCCACTTCCGTTTGTTCTGTTTTCAATTTCGGCGTCGCCTCACAGAGAAAGAATGCAGCACTAAATCGTCATCAGCACCATCTCTGTCGATGAACCGTCTTTCAACGAAACGAAACAAAAAATAATGTAGAGCACCCTTCTAGTCTGGAAGACGTAAAACACCACTGGTTTTTGCATCCATGGGCGTTCGTGATTTTGTTGATAACGATGACGAAGGCACTTTAGGCGAACACTATGCTTGCGGCTTGTCGTTGTGTGTGGGCTGTGCTGGGCTGGGCGCTTCTCCGATCACGTGGTGGCACTTGATGATTGGTCGTCGGCGTATTGTGACTCGGGCTGTCTGCGTTTGCTTAGGGCTTTCTTCCAGCTCTCGGGAAAACTCTGTGACCAGGAAAGAGGAAAAAGAAATCGCTTTCAGATGGGTGTAATAAAAGTGACGAGCGAGCGGTCAACATAGACGCCGATATTTCCTCGTTGCAAACGGTAACTTCCTATGGGCAAAGAGACCTCTGCAGTCTGAAACCAAACTCCCGGTATGCTGACAGAACGATATACTGCGCTCGCTCCGTCCACCAACAGAAACACTATTTTTCAAGATCTGATGAAAGTTAAAAAAATTAGCGGCGGAAACCTTTGTCTCATTCCACAAGAAAAAGCTACGCCCACTTATTTTTTATTTTTTTTATTTTCTTCGATAGAATAGTCGTCAGCTGAACCACTCAATGGCATGTCCAAACAGCAGTTGGACAAATCAAAGCACTTTACACGTTGTCACCTCGAGAAAATTGTAAACTTGTCTCAATAATTCTCATAAAGCTAGGAAGCAGAGAGTCTGCAAGGCACACTCGTGTAATCCCCCGGGTTCATGAGGCTGATCGGGACACGTTTCAATGCATTCGGGACCCGTGACGTCGTGAGATATCAGGTGGGGAGCTAGGCTTCGGTCATTGGCGAGTCAGCTGCTCTCGCTGACAGTCACCTATACTACCGCAGTCTCCCTTGTTCAGTTGTTTGCGCTCCCTCCTCCTCGTCGAGCAAAAGAGTCTGGTTGCGGATAGCACAGTTCGACTCCTGCTGCGCCACTTGGTAAGCCTCGGTAATTATGACCAAGTACGACGAAGTATGACTAAACATGCAGCTATGAGGTTTGAACACTTATGCATTGCCTGCTACGTACGCTTTTCGTTGCCTTGGCCCTCGTATAACGGCTTTTCGTTACACCCTAGCGTAACGCTTTTTTCGTTAAATTTTAGTCCATAAACACGTTCTGCGTTAAAAGGCAAGGCCGGTTCACAATGCCGTTTCCTCATTACGTCGGCTTCCACGTCGAGAGCCACCGAGACATTTGTGCTTCGCACGAAGCGGTATGACCCGCGACATTCGAGGTCGCAAGAAAACGCGAGGGAACGCTTATGTGTGAATGGACCTCTACACTCAGTTCATTCGCGACGCAAAAGAGTTATTTCAAAATTTGGCTGTCAAGAGGAAAAGAACGACACCTTTTCCGTTTGAAATGTGGAAGTTCTGATCAAATACAGCAAATAACTAATCTCACGTGCGCCCGCACGAGTTATCTTAAATCGCTATACATAAATAAGGAAATCAGTAAATCTCCGCAAGAAGCCGAAATTCCTCTTGCGCTGCGACAAAAGTATCCGATGACGATACGATACGATACACGCGCAAAAGGCGCCGGCGGAATGTAGGGTATCGTTTCCGAACGCCAACAACGATATACGAAAACTCCCTTTTAAATAAAGCGGAAAGTTTCAGTAGATGGTTCCGCTAGCTTTGACGGCGCCTTTGCGCATCCAACGTATTTTTATTGGAATGCAAAAAAAAAAAAAACGATCAATTGAAACTCCCTAGTATCGGGTATCGTTATCGGAGTTATCAAAAACGATCTACTAGAACACCCTACTACCGGGTGTCCTTGTCGGAGTAAAATAGAAAAGCGACCCCACTGTCTCGACTACACTATACTTCCCGAGTGTAAAAGGCGAGTGTTTGGAAAGGGTACAGCACACACAATGCATCGTCAATCGTTATCGTTTGCAGTGACAAGGCTGTCGTTACAAAAAGAGAAGAAAAAAAAAAGTAAACAAGGACGGGACTTTTTGCTGAAACCACTGTGATGTGTTTTTCCTTCGTTGTCTCGTTTCTCGAAAGAGTCATTCCGTCAGTGCTGGAGATTCGAGGCTTTCCAGCGCATTGTGTCAAGCTCCGCGGAACTCCATGTTCAAAATCTGACGAAGTGTAATTAGCCGTCTTAAGATGCCTCGCTAGCCGTAGGCGGCGATGATTACTCTGGCGACGGAAGGCTCACAGCCGACGCGCCACACGACGTCCTGACCTTGGTCGGTGGACGAGCGTGTTAGCGCACTACAGTTGGGAGCACGCGGAGCGAAAGCTCGCGCTGCTGTACCTCCTGGCAACGTTGCTCCTGGCATAGCCTCCTCTCTACTCACAAAGCCTGACAGTTCGACGACGGAGCCATAGAGTGTCCGGTCGCAGATTTGGAGCGCGAGGATCTGGTAGCACAGAGCAGTGAAGAGCCATTTCTCGGGGAACCTGGACGTCAGCGCACAGCTTTTGCAGCGGCGAGGACCCGAAACACACTTGTTCGCTCGGGAGAGGTGTGTTTCGGCGTCTCGCCGCAGCGGGGCGCCAGTCACGTGGCTCTCCTCTCATCCGTTGTCTGCCGCTCCACCTTTTCCATTTCGGCGGCCACTTCTCGTGGCGATCTCCCAGGCTCGTTTCCATCTGGACGAGCATCGTACCGGCGTGCGGTCGTGTGTCACTACTGCTTGATGCACGTTACACCAGGCTAGCGGTCGTACTGCACTGGCTAAGCTTCTCGTCTAGAGAGTAAACCAGTGCGGCCGCACTTGAACGTGTGCCTATCTCAAATACTCTACTCAAGACACTATTTCAAATACTTTTTGGTAGTATTTCGGTATCTCGCAAATACGTTTCATGTAGAGTATTAGCTACTCTGTCTTAATTACATTTCTTACCATCTCGTACTCGGTATCTCAAATACATTTTTCAACCTTCGAAAATACTTATCGCCGAAACAATCCACGGAACTAGGGAAAGTCGGACTCCAAGGGAAAGCTAAACCGATTGCAGACTTGGAGGCAAGCGACAAAACAGGAAGGAACGCATGAGCAAAACGCAGTCTCCAAATGTCAACAAAGACCGAAAGGATAGCCTCAAGTACGGCCCGCCTTCATGTGTCCTCCTGTCCGTTTTTTTTTTTTTTTAGTCAGATTTGAATGGAGCATTACGCTTGGAGCTAGCAAAGTGCTGGTGACGTCATCAGAATTTTACGCCTTTTGTCTGAAGCTACAGTAGTACCGCCAACGGAAGACTGCGACGCCAGCGCTTGGCACGTTCACAATGGACCATTTTCAGAAATCGCCGGTTCAGGGGATTCTTGTATCAAAATGCGCGAGCATGTTTTCAAGTGAGCGCGAACGCTAGCTCGCTTGGCCAAGAAAACCATAGATCCTGATGTTTTATTGAGCGTCCCCCCCTTGGGATTGAACCCGGAGCCTCTGGTTTCTGCAGCTTTCGCTCCACGCGCTCCGATGTCCCTCACACGCAATGCGGAACGCAAGTTCGTCTGCTTCTTTTGCGGGGGTTGTGGTGACGTCAAAAAGGCGCCGAGCTCCGATTGGTTCTGACTGAAGGGTAGTGGGTAGGCCTCAGGGCAGCTTGTTTTGAGGTCTACCCTACTATCCTTTCATCAGGGCCAATCAGAGCTTGGCGTATTTGTGACGTCACCACAACCCCCGCAAAAGAAGCAGACGAACTTGCGTTCCGTATAGGCTTTGTGCCGAGAAGCTGTGAGAGAGGAGGAGACGTGGGGACGAAGCCGAGCTTTGATTCGAATGATCAGATTAGGCCTAAAACTATCTGCCGTTGTCTCCACTGGTCTCGTCGAAGGCGTTAGAATGCGGAACGCCGGCTCTCGCATTCGAACGCGTTACACAAGTGCGGTGGAGAAGGCAGCTAGCCTTCTCCAGCGCTCGCGTTTCCTCCTCTCCTTCTCGGCACATAGCCTCGGTTGCGGACAATTTGCTCTTCGCGGAGGAACAGTGGCTGACGCTAATCGGGGTGTGGGGGCAACTTCTTGCGCATTCTTAACTCCTATCGGAAGAGGCGAATTGTTATCGCCAATTCCTTCATTAACAAAACAAAAAAAAAGCACATATGAAAAAAATAGTGGCATTGCTATCGTCAATTTATATGCAGGAGCCGTTACATCAGTGCTGAAACGGTGCTTTTTTTATGAACGTCAAGCTCGGCGATAAGCGGATGTCAAAATACGGCTTTACGCAATGATAACGGGGAGTTTTACCAGATGTCCTATGATAACCATACGCGATAACGGCACGATGCGTGCGCCGGCGATGTGCCGCGTACAGCTATCGGAGTTGTCGGAACCATCTACTCTCGCTGGGCTAGAAAGGAATAAAGCCCTTTTATGCGCCACTCTAGGCATCCTGCAATGCTGTTTGGTTTGGTGCTATCTAGCGACTAGAGCGAGAAACATTGGGTACGCCTGGGAGTGGCGGCGGCAGTGTTCAAACGTGGGCAATTACTCTGGTAGGGCCGTTCGCTTTTTTGAGACCGGATTCTGACCTGGTTTGGACAGACCCCTCGCAACGGATAGCTGAAGTCGCAAAGGCTTTGCGGCTTCCGAGACTCGCAATCCGGTTTGGACTGCGAGTCTCGGATTTCTGTAGTCGGTGACAGGTCAAGAACGAAGTGGAGGCTCATTCCACCTCTTTCCACTTTAGAAGAGCGAACGCTGGAAAGAAGGCGACCCGCTCTGCTAAAGTGGAAAGAGGTGGGAGGTAGCTTTCACTTCGTTCTTGTCCAGGAACAGGTCGCCGATGGCGGGGCGGGCACTGACCAGAGCTCCTTGGGCAGCTGGAGCGGGAGCAGCTGCGTGACCGTGGCGGCGTTGAGCAGCTTGTCCGGCGGCGTGGCCCTCCTCAGGCCCTGCTGCTGCGTGCCCGGGGAGCCCCGGTCGTCCGCCATGTTGGGGATGGGCGTACTCAGCGCCACCATGCGGGGCGCGTTGCGGAGCATCCGCTGGTACTCGTAGAAGTCGCGGGCGCTGCACAGCGGCGTCTCCACCTGAGAGAGAGAGAGGAGAGCTGCAGTGCCTGGAAAGCGTTTTTCTGCTTAAGCCTACAAAGTGGTTCCGATTTGGCAACAAATGACTTCAGAGAAACCGGAGTATCATGCTGTCGGCTGTCGCGATCCTGGCGGTTGGGCCTAGAAGTACCGGCAAAAAGCACAAGCAAACGCGAGTGTCACTGTCGTCACGGCGTCCCAACTGCTGGCTGCGGAAGCTTCGCAATACTGTCCAGTTGGAGGGCGACCCGCAGCAGATAAGCCACATGCATCCACCACCGCCGCTGTGAATCCACACCGCCAGGATTGCAGCCAACCACATCGCGTGCTGACGCGTGCTGAGCGCGTGCTGACGGCGAGCTTCCGCAGTCCTTTTGGGGCGTGCGTTTAGCACCATCAACGTTGCCGGTCTTAGCAGGCTATTAATGTGAGCTCGTTCTGAGCATGCGCTCTAAAAAACATCGCCCTCAAATATGGCGTCCAGTGAATACCTCCTGTACTATGGCATCCAGTGAATACGTATACACATAGCTTGCAGGTGCCGCCACTGCTGGGTACTGACGGTTATTTCTACTCACTGGTTCCCTCGAGCTACTAGTTCTGCGGTGTGAAACTAACATGGTGAAGCGAACGCTCCCGGCACATAAAATACCGGCATGATATCAAATGAGGTTACGGGCAAGCTATGCACAGGCCATAGAGCTTGCAGATCCCACTACCAGGTGAGGATGGATGGATGGATGGATGAATGGATGGATGAATACGGCTGAGCCCTTTGGATCGGGCGGTAGCTTACGCCACCTAGCCATTTTGTTTTACCATTTAAGCTGAGAATATTTAAATGTGAAATCTATATTCACTCCGCAGTGCAAAGAAAGTGAGGCTATGAAACCCCCTTGCCATCAGTCACGTGATTGTCACGCGTTGGCGCCACCAAGCGGCAAGGCTCGCAACTACGGTACCCTTGACCGTGCATGAACTGGTGACGTCACGAGCGCGATACGCATAGCGACTCTCGCTGTACGACTTCGAAGCGACGGGTAGAGAGCTCGTGCTCGCGTCATTTCGTTTCCGTACCCCTTTAACACCCACAAAGTTTCCGTTTCTTTTCAAATATATCAGGCGCGCGCGTGCACAATACCGTTTTGTGCGATTTTCTTAAAAGCACTCAGTAGACCAATTTCGAAATGATGCATAGATTATGTGCGGCCGCCGTTAGTTGGTCATGCACTATGAGCACGCATTGCACAGGAGCGCAATTCGTCAGCCTTCGGAATGTAGTCGGATCGAACCGCATTCCACACGAGTCCTCCGCGCGAACTCGGAACCAATCAGGGGCTTCACGCCGGGAGCGATGAGACCAACTAATGGCGGCTGCGCATAATCTATGCACCGTTACATAACTTCGGAAAGGGACCGGAGCACTCCGAAGCAGCAGGCGCGGGAGCAAGCTCCGCGGGTGTGGCTTCTCCGCAGTCACCTGTGCTCGGCAAGAAGCGCGCTTAACGGGGCTCACCTGGGCCACAGCCCACCCCATTTTTCCCTGAAAAACAGGCTTAATCTAGACATGGGCGCTTGTCATGTCAAATCGGGCGGTTAACGCATATACACGTTTGCAAGTCCGGCTTCAGGACGCTGCCATCTTACTCGACTGGGGCGCGCTTGGACGAGTCATAATCCGATTACGAAGCCTTGCTAAGGCACCATAATCGGATTATGGCCGCGCCCAAGAGCGCACCCCACTGAGGAAGATGGCGGCGCCCTGAGACCGGACTTGCAAACGTGTATAATTTGCAGAATTCCCAAGTTTGGGAAATGTTAACAGTGGGCGATTGAGCCAATCGGCCGCTTCTGCGCTATTTTACGGTAACAAGTGATGAGCCGAACTTTTGCCGAACTGAAAATTTGGCATCGAATGCTGGGATTCGGCATAGCCGAACTTTTACCGAACTCTTGTAAAGATTCGGCAAAAATGCATTATTACCAGAATTAACGTTAATATTTAATTTTTTTTCTTGCAAAAAGAAAAGAAAATTAACTTAAATGCAACGTGTAATGCATATTGACACAGTTATTACTAAATAAGGGCATGTTCTACATCGGTGTCGTTTCTGTGTGTTTACTGACAATTTCATAGTGACTTCTTGCAGAAGTGGCGTGACAACGAGGTTGGGTAGATAGCGGCCGCAGTCACGAATCACGCTACCAGAGTTTCGGTTATGAGGCCTCATCAGCGCAATCCTGCACGTGTGTGTACATAGTTAAAATGAAGGCAATAGCACTGCGTTCTTGCTTTCTCTGGGAGTCACCGTTTCGTGCGCGAAAACGAATGCAACGGTTGCTGAGCCTTCACTAGAAGATAACAATATTATTGTAAATATATGCATGTTTGTTTTGTTTTTTTTTTTCGATCTGAGTCACTTGACGTCAGCTTTGCATGAAAGTGTACGTTACATATTCGCAACGTCTCGTTTTTAACCTTTAAAATGCCGGTTTCTGGTGTTAGGACACACATAAACCTTTAGGAAGATAGGGAGGAGTTAGGAATGTCGGCTGTGCAACGTCGAGTGTGATAGTTCCGTGTTTAGTTTTATGCGGATACGTGAAAACCGCGAAATAAGGCTAATTAAAAAGCAATATTATTTGGTATTGGCACAAACTACTTGTGAGCTGAAAACAGAATTGATATAATTGCGAGGAGTGCTTTAAAGTAATTATCAGTCAATGTTTACTCTACCTCGTTGCATCACTGAAAAGGTCAAATGAAAATCATGCATGTTATCCAGAATGCAGCTCATCATTTGCCACTTGCGCAGTACACTGCGTACATTACTGGTTGATCTTCTCTTCCTGTGGCAGAAAATATAGAAGAGAACCACACTCCTAAAGGCTTACAAACGCACAGTTACCTTCGTCGCCGTAACCGCTGGTTGCGTGCACTGTACGATGGTAACCGCACGGCGCCCATTTGCAATCCATGGTCCCGTCGCGTTCTCGCGCGTGCGCAGACAATTGCCGAACATTTGCAGCACTTCAAATTCGGAACTTCAAATTCGGAAAAGTTCGGCAGATGCCGAACTTTTCCGAATTTGAAGTTCGGCAGATTCGGTCCATCACTAGTTTTAAGGCACTCGGTTGTAAGTAGTCGCAAGAGTAAGAACCAGCCTTTTTTCTCACAAAAAGGAAAGTTCCACGGGCCGAAAAGCCCTCTACACAATGACTGGACATCTGACCACAAGCCCGGTCGGGGCACCCTGAACTCCCAGTCACTGATCCCTGGTCTCGGCTAAACAGTGTCCGCGGCCGTAATTGCGTCGGAACCGATGCGGCGGCGCGGGAGCCTGCAGTGGACGCAGCTCGGAACTTTCCGTGCGGATGTGCGGCTGTCAAGTGTCGATATCGACACGGGAGACGTCTCCGTTCCCACAGCGGGCCGACGGAAGGATATCCCACGTTTTTATGTCCGTTCTCTTTTTCAGCTTTATAGTTCACGTAACACCGCAAGGTCGTCGCACTTTTTTCTTTTTCACTTCTTTGCACAGTAACATTATTTGTCTAGAATATCTTCAATTTTCTTTTACTGGGAAAATGAATTACGCATTTTCGAACGCTTATTCTCCGCCCAAATGTAGAGCTAGTGGTCCGAACCACATGCCAAAGTTTCTGACCTAACCGTTATCTCATGGAGCCGAATGGCGCCAGTTCCCGAAAACAGGCGAAATCCTCACTTTCCCATTGACGCTTTCAGAGTCATCAATAACTTTCGAATAAGTTAACAGTTAGACATGAAACTTTAGCACTTGGTTCGGACCACTTGCGATACAGAGAACAAGCGACGCTTCATTCTAGCTACGCAAAAAGACTGCGTAGTCAACTTCGGAGACAGAGGTATGGGCAAGGTGCGGAAGGGAACGATCCACACGTACCTCGTACGTGTTGTTGAACTTTGAGTAGTCGACGAGGTACTCGGACGAGTCCTTCTGGAAGCGGACGAGCTGCTCGAAGCGGTGGCCCCAGAGCAGCTCGGAGGGCAGGTACGAGGAGCGCGCCTGGATCGACTGGCCCGTGGACTCGATGGTGCCCTCGAGGATGACCACGATCTCGAACTTCTCCCGCAGCACGTCCTCGGCAGACATGTTGTAGAAGGGGCTCGTCTCGCCGATCTCGTGCACGATGGTGGCCGGCCAGATGAACAGGATGCTGTCCGAGCCGGCGTCGAAGCGCACGTCCAGCTGGGTGTGGTAGTACGGGATCACCTCGCCCTCGGCCGTCACCTGCGTGTGTGCACCGAAGGGATTTTCCTGGTGAAGACCGCACGTCTTTGTATGGTAGCCCTTGTTGCTAGCATGGAACCACCTCCCCCGCGGCTGCGCAGAGGGCCGGTACAGGTACGGTGCCTGCATGGTACGCGACTGCTGTGTTGAGCTACCTACTCCACCCGCGTGCATCGAACGTGCTTTCAAAGTAGCACCAAATGACGTCACAGAAGTCACGTAAAGAGATAAAGCAGGAGAGAACGCGAGTGTCGCGGTCGTCACAATTCTTGGCCGTTGGAAATCCCGTGCACTGTAAAGGTCGTCTGCTACATCTACCACCGCTGTTGTGACACCACAAGGATCGTGGCGGGCGACATGGGGCGGAAATCGAGGGTCCACCCCCTAGCACGCGGTAATTACTTTACACCAGTCGGAGACGCTTTCCAGGCACCATAGTGTAGATACGCAATACATCACGTCCCTAGTAAAAGCTGCGCTTGAGCTACCCTTCTCGAGACAAAGAACTTTCCTCCAGGACGTCTAACGGAGATCTGAAGACCATACAAGGCTATGCGTGCCGTACATGGCATGGAGCATGTTACGAAGCACATTTGGGATGCTCCACTGGATATTCCATGATCATAGGCTATGCAATGCCCTATGGACGTCTCCGGGTGTAAGTGTTTCATCTGGGTACATTACCGGGGGGGGGGGGGGGGGGTGGAAGACAGGAGAACTTACTGAAAAGCCACCAGGCTGACAATTCAGTAGACTATATAACGTCAATTTTTAGTCGACTACACGTGCTCCCATTCGTAACGCTATAGGAAAATGGTCCGTTTCTAGGGATAGACCATTTATAGGAGAGGAATCGAGCGCAGCATCTACCGCAGTTCATATATTATGAGATTATAATTGTCTGCATCCTGCCAATTACGTAGACTAATCATTTGTTCTTAAAAAATGAGGTTGTGAAAAAGATTGAGAAGTCACACAGATGCGTTCAGTTATCTCTCCCCAACCCAGTTGCCCGACTACGGCGCACAGGTGGCGGACTCTGCCGCAAGGTGGCGCGCGCATGGAGTCGCTGCCTGAACTCAAGCGCTGCCGGTGACACGTTGTTTCTGTTTTAGTGTTCTTTATCGACCCGTACTTGTTCAATTAAATGTAGTTCCTCGTTGTCAAAACCGCTGGCTCCGTGTTATTCGCCCGGGAGTAGGGTATGCCGCAAGGCAAACCGACCACAAGTTACACGGGCACGCTTAACCGCAGTTAAGTTTGACTGAGATCAGACCTCACTCCGGTTAAGGGTGCCCGCGAAGCTAGGCTATACATAGTTGGCAGTAACCACACTTAAAGGGGCACTGACACATCAAAATCATTTTTTTTTTTTATTATCGAAACGATTGAAAACGATGCCGGGACATTACCTTCAAAATTTGAAATTTGGGAATTCAGTATTCGTGGAGTAAAAAAACAATTTCCAAATGCCGAATTCGAAGTTCCCGCGCGATCGGCGCCGGCGCCTTGACGTCAAAAATTGCGGAGACCTGAGAGTCCCCTTTTTTTCACCACTCCCTGCTGTTGCCATGGCGACCTAAAGCGAGGGGGAAAGGAGCGAGCGGCGGCGTTCCGGCGGACCGGTTTTGAGCGGTGTCGCCTGTTTTTCGTTGGAGGATACAAATCCAGGAGACGGCACCACAACGAACTCCTGATTTTTGGTATTTCAAAAAGAAGGGCCGTAGTGCGTTCGCAATTGCGTTAAAAAACATGTTTTAGGATTGCCGTAATTAAATGTTATAGAGATGTCGCCTACAAAGCTTCTAAATTTCATGATTCTTGACGTCACCGATCAAAAAAAGCGAGGAGGCGAGAGGCGGGAAAATCAAACGCCAAAAATAAAAAGGCGCGCGCGCGCGTGGGAAAATATTTTTCGCGATGCGGTTTTTTTTGCGTGTCTATGACTGCAACTTGCATCGTTTTAGACAATAAAAATAAATGCGACCTTTGGGGTGTCAGTGCCCCTTTAAGCGTATTTGCGGTATAGGACGCCCCTGCTTACTCTCGTTCCAGCCACCTGTTCGTTTGCTTACTCTCGTTCCCAGCCACCTAGTAGCATACCTCGGCAAACCTCACTCATGAGGTCCCTCACTCATCCTCACTCAACCCCATCTTCACAGGTGAGGTGTGGGTGATTGTTTCTGAACCCTGAATATTCATGAGTGTGAGGGTGAGTGAGGACCGTGAGGTCGTGAGGGCCGTGAAAGCTGTGAGGGCTGTGAGGACCGTGAGTGCATGAGAGGTATGAGTGCGTGAGGGCCATGAGTGCATGAAGGGCGTGAGGGCCGTGAGGTTCAGTGAGAGTGAGTGAAGGGCTGAATGTGAATGTGAGGGTTAGTGAGCGGGGCAGGGGTGAATGGTGGCTGTGAGGGCGGCCTAAAATGCCGACCTCTGCATGGTAGGCATATCCGGCACGAGCAACGAAAATATAATACAAACATTTCAACCAGCAAATAGTAAAAAGAAATGAAAGACGTTTACAATTCTTTGTAACGTTGAATTAGAGCGCAGCGTTTGAGGAGGAGAGGGGAAGGTCACGTGTGACGTCACGAGAGCAAAATTTCCCCACCAAACTTACCGGAAACATTTTCCCGACAAATTTAGCGGAAACATTTTCCCGGGTGTGACGTCAATATGGGGAATTTCCCATAATGCAACGCGCGGTTACGCCGACAGCGACGCCGCCCAAGTCGGAGACGGGCGCATAAGAGCTCCGCTCTAAAATAAAGAGGAGACAAAACGAGAATGGGCGACGGTTACGCTCATACCCTAAATGCATTCTATTGGTGTGGCGGCGGCGATAGAATGTCTTTGCCCATACTGAAAGTGACGGTATTTCAAGATGGTGGCGCCCTCGGGAAAAAAGGTCTACCTTCCGGCGGATGATCTGCGCCGCGATGTTGGTGCCGATGATGTGCGACTTGCGCATATCGCCGACCCTGAAGAGGAGGCAGAGCTTCCCGTCCCGGAGGCAGACGACGGCGTTCCTGCTGAAGAGCAGCGTCTGGGAGCGCTTCTTGGGCCGGGACAGCTTAGCGAACACGATGCCCGCCATGAAGCACTGGATCATGACGCCCGTGATGGACTGCATGCAGAGGATGAACACGGCCTCCGGACACTCGGGCGTGATGGCGCGGCTACCGTAGCCGATCGTGTGCTGCGTCTCCAGCGAGAACAGGAAGGCCGACGTGAACGAGGTCACGTCCACGATGCACGGCGTCCAGTCGCCCTCGTGGGGGTCGAAGTCGCCGTGCGCGAACATGATGAGCCACCAGATGATGGCGAACACGAGCCAGCTCAGGATGAAGCCCATCGAGAACACCATCAGGTTCCAGCGCCATTGAATGTCCACCTGGGCCCAAGGAGGAACTTGTCACCAATGGCACCGCAGAAGGTCAACCTGTACCCGTAGACTCGAAGCTATCCTTCTGCGGTCAATCAAAAATAATCAAATGACGTCGCAGCCGTTAGCAAATGAGGATATCAAGTTGAAAATTCACGAGGTCGTGCGCTTGTTCTTCGAGACCTTGACAGCTAGAAAGGTGTAATTTGGACAGTTCAGGACAACCGCTAACGTATTGTTTTCACGCTGCATCGCAATGCAAGTGCACTAAACGACGCTGGTACGCCGTCTACACATATCAAAAAGTAAGTCGGAAAAAATATGCGAAATGTGTCTGGAGCGTGACACTGCTCACAACCATAGTAAAGACAAGGTGTTTGCCGCAGACACGACAACATAATTATCCGCGGACACGTTTCACGCACGTTCCCATGCGTCTAACCTGTCTGCAGGCAGTTTTTGTATGATAGTGCTACCGCGGCTTCACGTAACCGGCCACGCAACCAAGTGGGATCTATACAAGTAAGAGATGGTATCGACAACCCGTCCTCACCAGGGTGGTGAAGATGTCCTGGAGGTAGCGCTGCGACCTCTTGTAGACGTGCTCCTTGGAGAGGTTCACACTGCCGTTCTTGAAGATGACCCTCTTTCGCGCCCTGCTCGGGATGATCTTGGCCTTCTGGTAGCGCACTACGGGAGAGTCGTCGGCGTTGCCGCCGCCCACGCCGTCCCCACCGTCCGCGCACCGCGGAAACCCGTTCAGGGACAGGTGCTTGGTCAGGATGCGACGGCTGCTCGTGCTAGACTCGCCCTGAATCAAAAACAAATTGGTTGTGACGCTGTTTAGACCACGAGCAGTTGAAGGAAAACTGAAGCGTCCTTTAAGGAAAAACGATTCAGCCGTCCTCATTTCCCCTCCAGGATTACGAATGTCAAAATTATATTTCAGATGGATTAATACGGAGATCTGAACATTTCGGCGCTTTTCGGAAGCCTTATCCGATCAGTCAAAAGCCCTGTATGAGATCCCTCGCAAGCTGCACGCACAAGACAGCTGCAACATTTGGGTATGACGTCACACTTGGCGCTTGGTTTTTCGGGTTTTCTCGCGTCTATTGATACGTTCGGGTCGCATGCTCGCGATGTTCAAATGCACGTGACAAAAATAGCCTAAAATTCACCTCTAACTAGTTTTGTTCAAGAACTTTTTTAGCTTTCATCTAAAGGAACGCGAAGCACTTCGAAAGAAAACTAAGCTTAAATCAAACTTAAGTAGTTTTTTTTTTTTTTTTTTTTTTGTCATGTGAGTTTGCATTGCATTTGAATTGGGCAAAAGTAAACTTAAATCGTTTTTATTTAAACAAAAACAAAAACGTGCGGGGGCTGTCGCAGGGCATGAGCTTCTCTACCACCTGTTATCTGTCAAAGGCGTCACGACGTCATCGTCGGCCTTTGGGCAGGAGAGGAATTGCAACCCAGGGTATATCGTGTATGGTAAATCTTGGCTTCGTGCGTCGTAATCAATACGACTCTTGCACTTTTTTTTTTAAGTTTTCCGAAGCATCGATTATGCTTTGGAAGAGTGCGTGACGAGCAGTCAGTCAGTAACAGCTCAAGATGACTTTGCCAAGAGGACACCGAAATCTAACTTGTCGAGGCAATTTCGAACTCAAAACGAAACATGACAACTGATTTTGAAAAACTGCGGCGAGCGATCGTGCTCCAAACTTCAGAGCTCTCCGAGGCCTTCGAGAGAAGCGGGGTCTAATGGGATGAGGCGAGACAAACTTACTCTTGCAGACGATCGAAAAAGCATCGGACAGCAGCGATAGTGGCGGGACGCGGAAGACGTCCTGACGTAGCTCGAAACTGCGCGTACGCTGTGCCTCCCGACGTGACCGCGAGAGAGAGCACCACAAGAGCACGCTGTTGCGTCACCGGACCCACCTCGACGCCACCGTGAGTCAGGCGAGCCACTAGCCAACAACGTTGGGTGCATGAGGTCATGCTCCCGATGTTGGTCTCCGCTTCCGTGATGGGCTCACGGACATGCCCAATTCGAAAAAAAAAAAAAAAAAATTTTTTTTTGCTATTTTAATTTTTTTTTTTTAGATGGTTTGAGCTGGCGGCGTGCGCAGGGTTCCCCTTTGGGGAGAGGAGGATGTAAAATAACCCCCCCCCCCCCCTTTTTTTTGTCGAGAAAAAGCACTTTTTTCCTGCTAAATCTGTTTTCATAATTAAACTCATATACCGGTTTTTGAGTAATAAATTGAAAAAAAATGAACCTTGGCGTTCTTAACATGAAAGACATTTTAATTTTGACAGTATATATATATATCTATATATATACAAAGAAGCGGCTGCCACCAGATTTCTCGAGTTTCTGGATGGTTCCTCGTTGAAGGTCCTTTACTGCTGAACCCCCTGCGTTTCCCCGAGATTTCGTGCGGCTTTTCCTTCTGAACAGCCGCCTTCTTGGGACCGGAAACCGTACGTCCAGCGTCTCCATACTACGGCCCAGGCTATCGATGTCGTCTACTATGCAAGCCTCTTGAAATCGTACAACGCGCAGCCAAAATAATACACAGGCTCTACCACGTAACTTAGCCAAGGTTCAAAAATAGTTTGGTGCATTTTATGAGGACGAAACCAAACGATTAAGGTTGTTCAGTGTTTACAGCAAGTCGGGCTATTTTTTGTATCTTGTCCGATGAAATAATTAATTAAGATTAATTAAGTAACTTTTGAAATATTCCTTTTCGAGCAAAAGTTGCAATGACAAAGTTGTAGAGCGTCCTCAGAAACGTCCAATTCGGTGGTTTTTATCAAGAAACTTTAACACGGTTCTTTCGTCTAAACTTAAAAAAAAAACAAAAAAAAACACGCGAATTACAAAAAAAAAAAAAAAAAAAAAAAAGGCACGAAAAGCGCGCTTTGTGAACAGCGCTCTATTCAGCATGGGAGCCTAGTTTATTGGCTGAGAGCGCTGAAATACAAAACGCGCAACCGCGAAGTCACGTTTTATTATTTTTTTTTCGTAATTGCCGAGCTTTTTTTTTTTAAGTTCAAAAAAAAAAAAAAAACCTGTTAAAGCTTCTTAAAAAAAAAAAAAAAACACTTCAGAGTATTAAAGAGCCATTCCTCGGGGAACCTGGACGTCAGCGCACAGCTTTTGCAGCGGCAAGGACCCGAAACACACTCGTTCGCTCGGGAGAAATGTGTTCTGGCGTCTCGCCGCAGCGGGGCGCCAGTCACGTGGCTCTCCTCTGATTCCTTGTGTGCCGCTCCATCTTTACCATTTCGGCGGCAGCGTCTCGTGGCGATCTGCCAGGCTTTGAGAGGAGGCTATGCTTCGCTCCAGGTAACGTCAGTTCGGGTAGACTGCATATTGTGGGCTATTCGTGGAGTAGTCATAAAAACAGCCGAAAGCAACGTGGATAGCAAGTTCGTCTGCATCTTCTGTATACGCGCGCATACACACCGGACCGTTACCCGAGAGGGAACAACCTCACTTGTTGCCCCCACGACCAACCTGCTCATCAACTATCAACTACCGTCACGACCAAAGAAAATACCCGGCACCGCACCCAAGATTATCAAGAGATGAAGCCACCACCCTCCGAAGACTGCAGACCAACACATATCCCCACAGCACCCTTCTTCACGCCATCTATCCCGCTCAATACCCCGCCACTTGTAATTTCTGTCCTTCTCCCGGCAACCTTTACCATCAGGTATGTGAATGCCAACGAACCCCAGACCTCACTCCCAAACCCACCCCATCCTACGAGCAGTGGATGGCCTGTCTGATCAGCCCGGACCCCGAAATCCAGCAAGACTTGGTGACAAGGGCCCGGATAGCCAGCCGTAGCCAGGGTATCCCGGACTAAGGATGCCCTCCACCGGGCGGGTGCCCTAACATCTGCACCTGATGCTCGATAAATAAAGGTTTATTCATCATCATCATCATGCAGGGGTTGCGGTGATGTCAGAACGACGCAGTGTTATGATTGGCTCCGATCGAAGGATGGTGGGTAGACCTCGAAGCAAGCTGCCTTGAGGTCTACCCGCTGTCCTTCAATCACAGCCAATCGGAGCTCGGCGTCCTGACGTCACCACAGCCTCTGCAGAAGATGCAGACGAACTTGAGGTCCGAATTGTACCTGTAGTTTTGGACCACTTCTTTATATTTATGACTGGAGGTCAACTATGGTGGATTAGTGAATTCACGTTTGAGGCTGGCGACTGACTCGGATCACCTTTGTGAACCGATACTGTCACCGGAGCCTTCCTCACCTGGTTACTGGGTGTGTCGTAGTCCGAATCCCCGGCACCTCCCCCGGCCGCCGAGGGGTTCAGCCCGTGGCTCCGCGAGATGAGCTGCTGCCACGCCTGGCCGTTCTCCATCTCCACGAACTTCATCTTGTCGGAAGGGACGCGGTCCGCTCGCGGCCGCCGTCCAGCCTCCTCTACGACGAAGCGCCGGTGGTCACCTCAGCTGTAGCGGACACACCAACACGCTCATGCCGCCGACGGTGCAGCGGCGACTCCCGTCTCGGCGTTAGGCCTAGCGTTCTCCGCCTTCCTTAGGCCTTGCACTCGCTATACGCCTCGTATTCTGTGTCTTCGCCCCAGCAGCCGTAGCGGCCTTCGTTGGCAGTAGTGGTATTCGTCTTCCTTAGGCTAAGCACTTGTTGCACCCAAGATGTTCTTCGTTGTTCTCAGGCTTAACACCCTTCGGGCCTTCTGTCTTTCGCTTCGGTAAGGCCTAATCGAGTTCGTCTTTCGGTTAGGCCTAGTAACGCCTTTCCTTAGAGCCAGCGGTTTCGCTTCTTCTTATGGGCCTAGCCTCTCGGTTGGCTTTGTGCATAACGAGTACCCGCTTGTTAGGCCTAACAGCTTCGGCTTTCGCCAGGCCTACCGGGTGCCAACGGCCTGGCACGCCAACTTCCCGTTGTTGACGGCTGGCTTATGGTCCTTGAATCTATCACACTGGTCGTTATGCTTAGTTGGTCCGCGCTTAGGCCTATAAAGTTGCCTACTTTAACTTGAATTCGTTTGCCTTCAAACACTCGGGGCTTTCAGACACTCTCGGCAAAAAGAAAAAAGTCAGCCCGATCAGCGCAGCTGTCTTCGTTGTGGTGGCGTCGTGGCAACAGTGCCGTAGGGACCTCGGTCTTTTCTGGGCTTATTTGAGCCTTGCCAGCGGTTCAACGTGGCCGCGATTATAAAATTTGATTATTTGCAGTCCTACAAGTCGAGTGTTGGTGGCTAGCTGAGCGTACGCATTCTTCGCAAGCAGGTCCCAGGCGGAGAAGGGTTGCTTGATTTTGTCTGCAATGAGAGAAAAACAAAAACAAATTATCTAGCTTTCCAACTCAGAAAGAAAAATACCGGGAAAGATACGACACATGAACAAGAGATTATTATGAATATAGTTACGACGCTTATTATTTTTTTAACTGCTCAAAATAAGGCATATAATGGGAATGTAATTTTTCAGACTGATTTATCTTTGTAATTGAAAGATGTATACCACCAAAGGAATCAAATGCGGCTGAGATTTGACACTTCGCCAAAATAAAGGTTTTCCCTACCAGAGGATTGGGTTTCGTGCGCGAAGGTTTCGTAGATTGTAACACTTTACACTTCGTCAAAGAGTAAAGACTGTCGTCTCCAATGCCGTCGATCACGGCACGTGTCGAACAGGATGCTGTTAACGAGTGCATTTAAATAAAAAAACTATGTACCAACGCCGTCCCCCAATCGAAGGATTCCATGTCCCCGTTTGAGCAAAAGCGCTCGCAAAAAGTTGCCGATAAAGATCGCGAGAAAATAAAAAAAAAAAGAAATCGCAAGAATGCGAGACGCCAACGAACCCGCGCGACATGCGAGCACTTGAGCAACGCCAAAGGGGAGTCCTTCGAGCTCGATTGGTCGAGCAAGGTCACGTGGTCAAGGTGACGTCGGTCGAGGCCGAACCAATCGCACGCGCCTTTTAGTTGACTTGGCATGCAGCGACGACACAAGCGTCGTAAAAGGCGGGAAATGGGCCGTGAAACCTTCGATGAAGGAGAGTACGGCAAGAGCATGACGCTCTGCCATTTTGGGTTCATCAGAGGGGTCGTGGTTAGCTATTTTTAGTCAATAACATGCCCGTGTTTTAGCGCCTTCCCGAGTACTGCACGAACGAAATACGGACCTAATAATCTTGCTACAAAGGCAAACAGCCAAAGCTTAAAGGTATGTTCACACACGTAGCGGAGCGCTACAAGCGTAGCGCTGACCTCGCGCTGAGCGCGTGCTGACGGGAGCGTTCACCAGCTTTGTGTCGCACCGTCAAAACTGTTGTTCATGGCAGACAATAAGTAGCAGACGACACGTGAGAAGCGCTACATTAGCGCTTCGCTGCATGTGTGAACCGGCCTTAAAAAAGAAAAGAGTAGAACGGAGTTCACGGACAGCCATTTTTAATCGAGGGGGAGTCACGGCCAGCCATTTGAAGTCCTCGAGTAGCCATCTTTAGCTGCGGACCTTTCGCGCCTTCTCCAAGACTGCACAAAAAGGATGTCGACATAATGTTCCAACCACAAAGGCAAAAAGAAAAAAAAAGTCAACGCTCGAGAGAAAGTATGGAACGAGCAGCACGGTTAGCCATTTATGAGTCGCGTCCGTCATTTTTATTACCTTGGAGAATTTTATGACCCTGACGAAACGAATGACGCTCATTCGTTACAAGGTAGTAGTGATCAAACTTTCTTCCCACGAGGAAATGAGGGTAAATATGCGGTGACCCTGGTAACCATTTGGATTGCATGCACAGCCCAGCTTCAATTGTCCTTACGATGATAAGAAGAAACATGAAGATGACTAGTCAATGTATGTATCCACCGAACAAAGAAAACCGAGAAAACTCGGGATTGCACAGGAAGTCCTGGAGATATCGGGGATGTGATTTGGATAGCACATTGCGAGAGTTGGAGAACATTTGTGAATATGTAAGCCTAGCTCTTCTAAACGCTTCATGTATGCTATTTCTATACAGAAGGTTGTACATGCTATTTCTGTATACAGAAGATTCATAGACAACTCATCGACGTTCTGCTATATATGCGAGCAATCAATAGAACCGAATCACACAAGGTCTACGATATGCCAAGAACGAATATTTACGTTGTTCTTTCGATTCTCGCTCGAGCTCGAAATACCCAGTGTCACACCATCGCCGTCAAATAACCATGGTTAATACCTTTTCATTCTGTTATTTTTTTTATAAATAAGAAGTAAGGATGCATGGAAAACCTTTGATCCCTTCGCATCCACCAAGTGTCTATATAAGCGATAAATTGTTCCGCGGAAACGGAATCTCATTGATCACCGTTATATTTTCGTAGAGAACGCACACCGCGTTCTACGTTGCAAGCCCCCGAGAGAGCCGGCCATTTTGCGCATCCCACGTGTCTTCATTCCGAGCTCTCCGTGCCAAACGGGGGAGCGTCTCCATGGGCGGCAATGAACACAGCGAGACGGGAGTTGACGGCGACAGATAAACCTCCCTCTACGTCGCCCGCCCTCTCCATCCATCTTTCTCCATCTGGGAATTTCTCGCACGCATCAACACTTCAAGGCGACCGAACCTTGAAGACCACGGCCACCGACGCAGCAGCTGACTTTGAACTTTTGTCACGGAGCAGCGGGCCCTTTTGCTTTTCTTTTCTCGGCTCTCAATTGGTCGCGCGAAGCCGGCAGGATCTCCGACTTACGGGCGCACTTTGTTGTTGGGACGACAGGATACACGAGAGAAGCGGGCACACTGCGCAACACTGTTAGCGCCAATGCGGCTTGAACGCTATTTCGTAGTGTACTTTGAAAGAGCGATCATCTAGATTTACCACTTAGGTAAATTTTGATGATCAAAAATATACCTAAATCAAAATCTACCATTTAGGTATATATTAGACACGAGTCTGACGTCATCGTTCGGCAAGGTTCGCAACCAATCGACGAGAACACGGCGGCATGCCGACCTGCAGCCCACCTCCGGACTCCGGTACGTGACGTAGAGAAGATCCAGTAATACGGCCTTGCTGGAGGTGTTGACACCGGCAGTCGGGAACGCGTACCCCGAAACGAGCGGCATGAAAAGCACGTCAAAACACGTCCCACTAATGGATGTCCCGGATTTCGCTATTTCGTAACGCGCCGTGATTGGAACACGTGTCGAAAGGACCGGAGGTTGTGGGCGTGACGAGTGACGTCACGGATGACGTCACAGGCAACTGTGAAAGACGTGACGTCAACAAAGTGTGGTAGCTCGGTTTGGTGGCTGGTAACTCGCTTTTGGAAGTCTGAAGGGATTGAGTGATCGACCGGGGTTTAATGTCGCACGATGCGTGTATATCCGTTTTTCATTGTACACCCTATTTGTCAATTATTATTTTCAGAGTGAGAAAATCTCATCAGAAAAGAAAACCGTGGTACGGATGTTTGATCAGGTTTTCATGTGATTCTCGGTGTTTCCGGGTGTTATAGGAGCACGTGGATTATGTTATCGGCGTGGAAAGCTAACTTAAGAACCACGGAGAACGAATTAAACGTAGTAATGCGTTGCAAACGAGTGTGTCGTCACTGTTTACGGCGACAGTCTTTCAGGACTTTGTTAACGGCAAGCACTTTTCTCTTTCTATTTTTTTTCGGTGGAAACTCCTTTTTTTAATGGAGGACATACCTCCGACAAAGGAAACATAAAGGAGGGCACACACACCACCGTCCCATACCTGCGTCTGAAACTTTTTATGCCATTTAGAACCATCAAATCAGCATCGAGAAAAGTACATACTCGAAGGACCCACATTTTATTTCGCAACGGAACGATTCTGAAAGAGAACTGCGGGAGTTGAACTGCCGCATACCGATGTTTTTGCCCACTCTATTCTTCCTTTCACCATTCAGGAATGAAATCGTCTTGACCGTGAAATTGTGTATTCCTCCATGTTCTTTTCAGTTTTACAAGACAAAAAAGTTTATAACAGTATGTCTAACAGAAACATACTGTTATAAACGTTTTGGTTATCAATTTTTCAAAGTGTTTGATGTTTATACTTTTGTATAATCTGTATTTATTTAATATGATCCCCCTAACAATAACGCCCTCTGGGCGATGGTGATATCCGAATAAATAAGTAAAGCGAGGCAGCGGAATCCGGGGTGGTGACCCGCTAGATTTAACGGGAATCACAATGTCACGAGACACAGCGACGTCGCAGTGTCAGTGACGTCACGCTTTCCCCGCTAAAACTTGCTGCCCGCTAAATCTGGCGGACAAATTTCCCCGCTGAACTTAGCGGCACAATTTATTCGCTAAACTTAGCGGGAAGCGTTTCCTGGCTAAATTTAGCGGGAATCACAATGTCACGAGACACAGCGACGTCGCAGTGTCAGTGACGTCACGCTTTCCCCGCTAAAATTTGCTGCCCGCTAAATCTGGCGGACAAATTTCCCCGCTGAACTCAGCGGCACAATTTATTCGCTAAACTTAGCGGGAAGCGTTTCCTGGCTAAATTTAGCGGGAAAATCGTGACGTCACGCGTGCAGCGCTTCGTCTATCGCCGAAGTTCAGTCGCAGCACACGGCAGGGAACCGCCCATTTACCACCTAGAAGACAAGGCCTGCCCATGACGTCATCTTGAGTGGACCTCCGACAGGGTCCAAGCGGCCAATAAGCCGAAGATCGACGAGACGCCAGCGTCTGGGCGTCGCCGTGTGCGAACGCGCTCGTTGTGAGCACGACGCGCGGGCGGCCACTGGTGATGACGTTTCGGGGAAAGCCGGTTTGGCCTCAAGGTGGCATTTTCTTGCCCCCATCTTCTCTGTTATTCCTATATCCCGAGCCTGCTCAGGTTCGTGTTCCAAAGAAGCTCGTGCCGCAAAAAAAAAAGAAAGAAAAAAAGAAAAAAAAAGAGAAAAAACCGGCATCAGCGAACGGAAAATCCTGATTGGTCGATAGGGTCACGACGTCACATACACATCATCTCACGTCAGAATTTCAAACAACGCTTAAGTGGCACGTGACTCCACGCAGGGGATGATTAAAACATAGCATGCAATGCGAATTTAAGGTCACCGTATGCTTCAAATGATTTCACACAAAATTTGAAGGATTTTAGGTGGAGGCGGGATTCGAACCCACGACCCTTCGATTGCGAGCCACACGCTACCGACTAGGCCACGCGGACACGCTTGCACGGCTTAGGGAAAAGCGAAGATTTCTATGTTTAGCTATCGCGTTCCACTCTTAAAGGCGAAGCCTAAGCGCCGTCTTATGATTTTCCAAC